CAGCTGCACTAGTCACATTCCAAGCGCTGAACAGCGACACGTGGCTGGTGACAACCACACCCGAACAGCCCCACCCCCCACTTAACTGCTCTGGGCTCCTTCCTCTGAGTTCCAGCAGCTTTCTCCTCAGCTACCTTTCGCTATCTACTCTTTTTCCTTTTTCAATTCAACTGACTTTTACCATCATTACATTTTTTAATTTTTACCCCATAAGACCATGTTAATTATCCTTCCATTAAAAATCTAATTATAACAGCCAACATTTATTGAGTGCTTACCATGTACCAGGAACTGTTCTAAGCAGGGTGCATGAGTTAATTCACTTCCTGTCATACTGTAGTAATTGAGTGGACTCTGTTTATATTCCCATTTTAATGATGAAGAAACTGGGGCACAAGGAGATTAAGTAACTTTCCCAAGGTCACAGTAACTTAGTGGAAGATCTGGAAATTGAACCAAACCTATCCAGTTTTATCCAGACTCTACACTCTGTACCACTATTCTGTTTCTCTCTCTCAAATATAACCATAAAAATGATAGTTTGAGTGCTAGGATTATAGGTGGTTTTTACTGTTGTCTTTTTATTTACCTATATTTTCCAATTTTTCGGCAAATGAGATGTGTCACTTTTGTAATTTTTAAAGTTATTTTAGAGTAAAGTCAGATAAATGAACTAAAAGAAAAAAATAAAGTCAGATAATTATCAGTCTGGTTCAGTTTTAGTATTCTCTTACCTTGGGACAGAGGAATAGACAAAATGGCTTCTTAAACACCTTCAGATCTCAAGAAGCTATTATTCTTACCCCCTATCGGTATTAAACAAAACCAGCCCATCTCACTACCCTATATATACTTCATGACAGTTGGAGAGTTTTAATTTTCTCTCTTTACCAAATATGGCAGGAGGTTTCAAACATCAAACCTCGATGGTCCCCAACCAAAGGATTCATTTTAAATCTTACACTGTTGGTGAAACATGTTCTGAAAGTTCAAGGGTCCTGAATGTTTTCTGGGTCTGTGTATTTCCCCCTGGAGTTCAGACCTTGAGAAATGTGTTAGAACAAATACGGGGGTCGGGGGTGGCTGTAGCAGCCTGGAAGCTGAGATCATGCAGTGAGGTGGGGTGCACCCCAGCCTGAGGAATTGCCCGCCCAGCACGGGCTGACCCCAGGAAGTCAGGACTGAGAAAGGCGGCCCCTCTTCCTCCAAGGCTGTTCCTTCTGTGCCCTGGCTCATAGCTCCTACCACTCCCCTGCTCGAGATCCGGACAAAAACGGTCGGCTCGCCCCTCCGTTGCCCTATGCTTTCAATCAGTTGCCAAATCCTCTAACCTCCACCTTCAGCATTTTTTTAATTAAAGATTTTTTAAAATTTATTTTTAGAGGGGATGTGGAGAAAGACACAGAAACATCGATCATGAACAACAATAAAAAAAAAGAAAAAACCAAAAGAAACATCGATCGGTTGCCTCTTACATGCCCCCACCTGGGGACCTGGCCCAAGTCCTAGGCCCTAGGCATGTGCCCTGACTGGGAATCGAACCTGTGACCTTTCAGTTTGCAGGACGATGTCCATCCCACTGAGCTACACCGGTCAGGGCCCAGCATATTTTTCATATCTATACCTTTGCACTTCTCCAATAGCAACCATCCCATAGCAGTGCCTTTTTTAGCCTCCTCCTCGGCCTCAGTAGCATCTTCTGAACGGGAGCCCTTGAGCCACCTCTCCGCTCCCGGCACTGGCCTGCCTCAGCCAGGCCTGCCTCGGGCTCTGCCAGTCAACTCCCAGCAGGCCGCTGGCTCTGCCGGCAGTCCTTTGGGATGCTCTGCTTAGGTTCTGGCTTTCCAACCTCAGTTTCTAGGGCACCGCACGCCTACTCCACATTTCAGTCACCCGACCTTCTTGCAGTTCTCAGGTTCTTTTACATTTTCTACCTGCAGACCTTTCCTCAGGTTCCTCCCTCTATCTAGAAAGCACCTTTCTGCCATCTCTGCCCATTGAAATGCTACTGATTACTCCAGGTCAAGTACAAACTGTTTAAGTGAGTTCTTTGCCTATCAACCTCTATCTTGCCACTCCTGCATTGGTTACCACAAACCAACCTCAATCTCATCATTTACATGTCATTATTTGTATACTTTTCTGCCTACTAATATTCCTAATATTCCTAGTATGTACCTGTGACATGTCAAGGCTACGTACTAGACACTTCACATGTCTTATCTAATTTAATTTAATCCTCACAGCAGCCTATGAGATAGGTATTACCATCCCTATTTTATAGATCAGGAATCTGAGGCTGTCAGAAGTTAACTAACTTGCTCAAAGTAGCATCCTTACTAAGAGGGAGAGTCATCACTCATTCCGCGCCGTTTTTCCCAACCCATGCTTGCCAGATTCCTCAGCCCTAGGGCTGTGCAGTGTAGACCAGGGAGTCTGGGGGCGGGGGGGGCCTTTAGCATGGAGCCTCGGGACCAGGCACCTCTGTTAGAGGCAGTTTCCTGCTCCTCTTGCATTTGATTTGGATTCACCGTACTTGATGTGGATTCTCCATGCTACAGGAAATGGCTGGTCCTTTGGCTCTCAGTCAGCACTTAGGCTGGGCTAGCACATGGCTAAAGAAATGACAAACTCCACACGGGAGGTTTCGTCCCACTAATGACCCTGAGAGCTGGAAAACTGCGAGAGAAATGCCAAGTTCCAGCTTACGGTTGGCAATCTAGAACTCCGTGTTGTAAGGAGTGAAATGCGTTCGGGCCATGCACGAAACCTCTCTGTTCCCTGAGGAGATGTGGAGGGGCCTCCGCTTTCAGAAGCAGGGTTGGAACAGCGCCATGGTTGCCACGTCATCCCGATAAGGGCCCCGCCTTTAAGGCCCGGCAGCGACTCAGAGGGATTCACACGCAGGTTCAGAACAGAGAAGGGCCAGCCTGCCCTGAATTGGTTTTTCACCATTTAGGATGGAAGCCCTTAAACTTGTTGGGTCAGTTCATACTGCCAAATGAAGAATATTATAATAATGGGTTTATTCTCTTCCTTATTGTTTTGGAGTCGAGGGTGTTCAGCTGCCACTGTTTGCCCAAGGAGAGAGTAAACAGGACTTGACTCCCGTGACTAATGATCACAGCGCCCTCAGCCACTTTCACTCCGGCCTGGGGTGTGGATCCATACTGAGTGGGAAAGGGGGTTAGGTGGCTCTAATTTGTGTTTTATTTGTAGTTTCCTTTCAATCCTCAAAGCAATCCTTTTCGAAGTGGGTGTTATTGAAATAGCCATTCATTCTACAGATCAAAAAACTGGGTGCTAAGTGGCAGGCAGGGACTGGAAAGCTGATAGGTTGAGTTCTACAGTTTAAGCTCACTCTCTGTGGCAAGATCTTTTGCTTAGGCAACTGCCAGTCATTTAAGAAGGGCTAAAGACAAAATTTGTAACCAAATTAAAGTTCTCAAGTATCAACATTCTCCTCTCCCTCCAAACCAAGATGATACAAAGTGTTAAATTCCTTAACTGTCTCACATTCTACACAGTTGACAAAGACCTTCCACCCAGGAGGCTCCCACGTTGGATTCTTAGGCAAGTGGGCTTGTCGGAACTGTTTATCTTGGTTGGTTAGAAATGATAAGTCGCTAAGGCCAGTAAGCCACAGTCACTGACAAAATCTCCCTGTTCCCAGCCATCTTTAAACAGGTCAGAAAGTGGCTGGGGGGACATGCGAGGGCCCGGAGCCTGTAGTCACTGGGGCTGATGAAAGTTTTCAGAAGTCCCACTCACTGGGGGCGCTTGCTTGTGTTGTATTCAAGAATGAAGTCAAACATGGATCCTCACACAAACATTCTCTCCTCCCCCCCTCCCCACCTCTACATGATCTGTTATGTTGTAGACGGTCTATGGTTAGAACACCATAATAATATATTTCCAGATGGGGTGGGGTTGTGTTTGCCAACCAGTTAACACTGATAACTTAGGAAAAAATATTTCAGCTTCACAAAACCTTAGCTGAGGATGACATTTGGGATTACTTTTACAAGGCTAGACCCTTGATGTATTATTATAAAGCCTTGATGTATTATTATGAAGTCTTTCACATTTTCTCAGAAATAACCACTTTTGTCTTGCCTTCCGCAATGAAGTTCTTATAAATATTTGTTGCTGTCTCTACCATATGGTAAAAAAAAAAAAAAAAAAAAGTTACTCGGAGCACAGCACCATAGAAACGATGGAGTTTTATTACTCCTGAATACCTCTTCGTATCTCTCCAAAAAGAATGTTCAAAAGGCATTTTTGGCTGGAAGGCATTCACTACCTATTGTCCAAATTACGCTGGCAACATTTTGGAAACACCTTGAAAAAGACTTATGACATATGTCAGCAGAGGTCAGAGAAGGAAAGTAGAGATTGGTGGGGAGTGAACTGTTACAGAACTCACAGACTGGCCCAAAGTGGGCGCGTGCTGTCAGGTACACCAAGCAAAGTGCAGCGGGGAAGCCAAGCCCTGAAGAGGACCTGCACTCAGCAGCCGTTTGACCCGCGCGCGAGCGAGGGGTGGTGGGACCTCTCCGTGCCTCTGGCCCGCCTCCCGGCTTTCACGCTTCTTCCGAAGCTGTGATAAAAGCACCAGGGTTTCCTACCCCACTTCTCCCCCTCCCCACTTCCCAATTTGCCCCTCTGCACATGCACAATCTTTTGTTCTCAACCACTTTTAAGGTGATTTCATCCCAGCTGGAAAATGACCCATATCCTCTCCCCTGGTCTGAGTCCAGGACCTCAGGTTCCAGAAGACGGGACCTTTCTCCCTGCGCTCAGCAGCCCAACTGTGGGTCCTCCAGGGGGCTGGCCTCTCCACGACGCGGGTCCACTCCTCGCCCTGCCCGCCCACCCTCATCCTCGGAGAAACCTCAACTCCGTGGCCGCAGCAGCTCTCTGTGCCTAGGTCCCCAAGGTCTTCTCCGGGATCCAAGGTGTCTCTGATTCAAGTGGGGACGCGTCGGGAAGAACAGTACCTCTTTGCAGGCATGAAGCTTTGGTTCCGTTCCCTGGGTCACCTGGAGGGCGGTCCCAACCCAGAGCAGCAGCCGTAGGAGCCAGAGTGTGCGCCGCTCAGCTCTTCCCCTGCCTCTGGCAGATGGATGGAGGCTGCGCCCAGGCTCAGCCATAGCGTCGTCCCGAGCGAACGGCCGCAGCGGCTCAGGTGCTGCGGCGGCTGCTACCGCTGGCCGAAGGCGGAGGAAAGGGGAGGGAGGCTCACGGGGGGAGGATGTTAGGGGCTGGGCTCGCTTCAGTCACCTCCGGGCGGCAACGCCATAGCCGCCCATCCTTCCTCCTCCCTCCTTCCTCGTCTCCTCCTACCCACGTCGCCTTGGCAACCGCCTCCTCTTTCCCTCCGCGCGGGTGGGGCAGGGACCACGCGATGCTCTGCCGCTCACCTGCCGGTCGCCATGGCAGCCGCCGCCGCTGGCGCGCGCTGCGTGGAAATGCACGCGCCTGGGGTCTGCAACTGGCCCACAGGCGGGCGCGGGGCTCGTGTGAAGAACACGGTGGAAGAAGCCTCCACGCCATCGCCACCAAATCCATGTTGTCCACTGTCCTTTCGGGTCATGGACTATTTATGAGCATCTCTGATTCTGCAGATGTGGCGTTCGACAAATACTAAGCACATCCTGTGTGCAAAGAGCTAGAAAGACGACTGAGGCGTCGTCTCTCTTCTGGAAGTTATTGCCTAGAAGCGTGGCCTAGAACGTAGTACCTACTGCAAAGGCAGCCGCTTCTGGAGATCTTACTTCCATCCCTGCACATCCATCCAGGCCTTTACAACCGACTTGATGCAAAGCCTTGAGACTCGTATAAACAAGATTGAAGCAAGAATTTGCTTAGTCGGCAGTTTTACAAGCACAACACGTGGGCTCCACCTTCTCTGGACATCCCCATTCTCTCATTGCTTTGAAAAAATCCTTTTGTTAGATGCGAGAGATAAGGAAAATTCTGGGTCACCTTCTAGGGCTCTTTTCGTCAACTGAGGTCCTTTCATTAGCCCCGCACGCCAAGAGGCCTCTGTTTTTCCACCTGCGGCTCGCAGAGTGCGAATGCAAGGCTCCTGGGCATGCTCCGCGGCTCTTTCCCTGTGTTCCCGGTGGCGGCGTCCTGAGGAGCCTCCCGCATTGGACCGCCAGGTGGCGCGCTTGTTGATGGGACTGCCCCCTCAGTAATAGTGGGGCAGTCGCCTGGCAACCGAAAGTGGGCGTTCCAAACAACTGGGACCTGGGATCTTCCGTGCGCCAAGGTTGTGTGCGGCTGTGCGGGCCTCCCATCCCTCTTAAGAGCTTCTCTGGCTGGGCATTTTACCATGCCTCCCACCCGAGACCCTTTCCAGCAGCCTATGTTGGATAACGATGATTCCTACGTGGGGACACTGAGGGCTTCCAAGGTACTGCGGTTTCTTGCGCAGATCCTAGCAGGGCCGGCGGCACTTTTCTTCAGTCTGCGTGAGGCGCAGAGATGGTAACTTAAAGGACTCTGGTGAGGACACTGAGGTACTGGAGAAATGTTTCCTCCCTGCCTCTGTGTGCTCACATTCAGGTCCACTAAGGTTTTGGAGGTGCTTTTGAGCAAAGGGAAGCAGAGCTCTAGGCCAGAAGAACTAGGGGCTCTCACCACCCAAAGCAATGGTGTGTATAATGGAGCTTAAACAGGCCCAGGCTCCAGCGAGCCACACTTTGCCCTGTTTGGGAGACTGTCCTCCAAAAAGGCGTGAGATACGGAATGGAGGAAAGTCCTCTGAAACCCACCAGGTCATGCTTTGTACATCTGTCTTCTGCTGTCTGTGTCTTCTGGTTAATGTTGGGGTGTGTTCATGAACGTGTGTCAGCGATTGGGAATTTAGATGATCCTTTTTCTAATAGAAGCAGTTGGGATGTTTGAAGTGGTACAAACTAAGGAGCATTAAACAGTCATCGTGGCTCAATAATACAGCCAAAGAGCTTCTTTTTGTTTATTCAACACTTACTGTTTGCTATATGCCACTGTCTAAGGGGCTACTAAACACTGAGCATATAGAGATAAATTAGGTATGCACCTGCTCTGAAGAAACGCTAGTAGAAAAGCCGGACTAACAACAGCAACAGCGAAAATGCTCGCACAAGAGCATGTGTGTGTGACAGTTACACGTAATGTGTCAGGAGCACTGGGAGTGAAAAGGAAAGCTTCCCAGAGCAGGTGAGATTTGACATTGAAATATGAGGGAGCTGGGCCAGGTGAGGGAGGAGGTGAAACATGAGTTAGGAAGAAGGAAACAGGAACCACACATTGGTCACCAGCAAAACAAAGGAAGCGGCAGGTGCACATACACCTGGAAAGGAGAGAAAGGGTGACCTGTTTGGGGGCCAAAGATTCCAGCACAACTGGAGTGGCGGTGGGAGGTAGAGGGGCGGAGACAGTGGACAAGGGAAAAGTGAGCTTGCTGGGCTGGGAGTTATGCGTGCCCCATGCTAGTGAGCTCGAATTTCGTCTTGGAGGTGCTGGGGACCACACTGGGATTTTAAGCACTATAGTGAGACAAAAGATGGGCATTTTAGAAAGCACAGTGGCAGTGGGTAGGTGGGGACGGGAGTGAGACAAGAGGGACCAGCCAGGAGGCAGGAGCCCCAGGCGGCAGCACTCTCGAGGAGGAAGGAGGAGGGGCCTGAAGCAGCGAGGGGGAGTGGCAGTTAGGTGCCGATGTGGGAGAGGGCAAAGGGCAGGCAGGACCAGTGGGATTTTGTGGCCGACTGGATGTGAGCACAAGAGAGTGGGCGAGTCCAGAGTAACTCCTAGGTTTCTGAGGGTTTAGCTGATACCATTTACTGAGTGAGGCATCCAGGGAAGTGGGTTTGGGGAAAGAGATGTTCAGATCAATTACGCTGATGTTGCTTTTGTGGTGCCCACGGGACATCTAAGTGGGGATGAATGGCAGGCAGTGTGGGTGAGTTCCGAGTTGAAGGTGTGTATCTGGAAGCCACAGTGTCCATATGGTGGTTGAAGCCATGGGAAGGAATGAGTTCACCCAGCGAATGTGAGAGGAAGGAAAGCAGGAACTCAACCCCTGGGGAGTGCCTCTGTCTAAGGGCAGGGCCAAGAAGTAACAGTGACAGGCAGGAGGAAGACTGGAGGAGCAGGACCCGCAGGGTGGGGGGAACATTTGAGAGAATCAGAAAATCGTGGTGCCAGGAACTGCAGGAGCCGGATAAGATCAGGTCTGGAAAGGATCCACCCGACCCAGCCACAAAGATCATGGGTCACCAGCAAGAGCGATTTCCGTGGGAGCTTGGGGCAGAGGCCGGGCTGAGGAGCAGATGGGAGGCAGGGAGGAGGTGAAGGTGGTAAATGATGGCTCTGGAGGAGGAGTCTGGCTCTGGAGGAAGGTGGTGCAGCAGGAATCAGCTGGTTACGCAGGAGAGAGCGGGAAGCCAGGTGCAGGGGATGCTGGGAGGGCACAGGCCTCTGAGGGCTCAGGAAAGGGCTGGGTTTGGGGGAGAAGAGTCATTCTTGAATAAAAGGGGCTTCCCTTTCTCTGAGATGGAAGGCGGTGGATGTGAAGAGGCATTCATGCTTTCTTTCTCATTCAAAGACAATCTCACCCTGCTGATAAAGATGATGAGGCTTATGTAGCCTTTGAGGAAGGAGAGGAGAGCTGCCTGTGCCTGCCTCATATGTATTTGTTGTTCTCGTTCCATTTTCCATCTTTCCTAGGGATAGCACAGTGCCTGATACATACAGTTCAGTTAATGTCTGAGCTGAGTCACACAACACTTTGTCAGTGTGGGGGAGGGGAGAAGGTTCCAACACCAGATAGGTTGAATGAGACTTCTAGGTTGTAGTGGTACTCACTGGAGTTTGGTCATTGGTTCAACTAATATTTCATTTTTGAACACCATGTGTTAGATGGTTGTGCTAGGTACTGGCGGCACAGTAATGAACAATATGGCATTTTATATATAATGAGGAAATCAGTTATGTGAATTTCACATTCATGCTTGTGGGGTTTTATTTAGAGGACTGAATGTCCAATGGACTTTTTCTTTGACTTTCCTGCAGCTACAATGGTCCTTTCCTGTTTACTGAATCCTTTCCTCACCTGCTTAGACCCCACACCCTCCTGATTCTCCCATGTCTGACCACCTCTGCCTCCCCCAGTTATAATACTGTGCGCTCATGAACCACTTCTTCCCTTTGGCCACGCCCACTTTTGCAGGCTTCAGCCACAACGCCATGCAGACAAACCCCAGATCTCAACTATGGGTCCTGAGCTCTCCAAGTTTCACGCTTTCCAATTTTTGACCTGGTAACTGCATTAGGATGTCCAACCTCTTCCTCAAACTCCAGACGTCTAAGCCTGAGCTCACCACCGGTCCTATCTGCTTGCCGCCCTCTGCCCTGCCCCCGTCCCCCGTCCCCCCCACCCCTTTCCCTATATTCCTGCCCCATTTCTGTCAGTTCTAAGGTTGAAGATTTAGGAGGATCAAAAGCCTGGGGAGTCGTGTCCCATATTGTCCTTCTCTTTGCAGGTGTTGTTCTGAGACTCAATTGAAATAGGATGGATTAAGGGATGGGTGTCACTGAAGCTGTCCCATCAGCAAGGACCTGCCCTCAAGTAACCAGGTCCTTGTGGCTTTTCTCTTACAGAAACTGCCATATAAGAACCCAACTCACCTTGCTCAGCAACAGGAGCCCTGGAATCGGCTCAACTCAACCCACACGACCACCTCCCTGCGGCGGAGTGCTTACTTTTCTGAATCTGAGGTACCTAATGTTGGAACGCTATTTCTCTTTGAAAGGTAGTCTGTCCCTTACTGTCTTAGTATCTTCCCTTCCCCCCCCCCCCCCCGTCAAGATCCTACCAAATCTAAAACCCAACACCAATTTGTGTCTGGGAAGTCAGAAGACTTGGGTTCTGCTCCAGTTATCTGGAGCAAATCATTTTCTCACTAGACTTCTCACTCTTCTGATTTAAACAAAGGCTGAATACAACCATGAAAGAGGTAAGGCCCATTGAGCCCACGTCGGGGACAGTATAGTGGTCCCCATATCTAGTCCTTAGACCTGACCCCGAGAGACAGCTCCAGCCCTTGCCCGTGTGGCTCAGCTGGTTGGAGCATCGTCCTGTGCACCAAAAGTTTGGATGTTTGATTCCAGGTCGGGGCACCTACCTGGGTTAGGAGTTAGATCCCCAGTCGGTGTGCATGGGAGGCAACCAGTTGAGGCCTCTCTCCTTCCCTTCCTTCCTCTCTAAAATCAATAAACATTTTTTAAAAGAGAGAACTCCATACTGACAAGAACCATCATGTACAATGTGATTTAGGAGTTAGTGGATCCAGGCTCAAAGGGGTTCGCTCTGTTTTTGAGTGAACCCAGCAGAACTTGACTGAAGCAGGGCCCAGGCAGCAAGTTAACCCTGGAGGGCTTGCCTCCCTCTAGATTCCAAAGGATGACCTGGACTTCCGCTTAGCAGCCTTGTACAACCACCACACGGGGGCATTCAAGGACAAGAGTGAGATCTTGATACACCAGGAGACCATCCAGGATACCCGCGGGTAAGAGATCACCACTTACATAAGGATGACACCACCACTTATCTAAGGTAAAGTGCCACCTGGGCAATAACAATCAGTAGGTATTCTTTGTATACAGATTTCCGTGTTGTTTACATCTGTAGCTGTAAATAATTTCTGTATTTTTATTACCTAAAATGATCAGAGAACCTCCAAGATTGTGTCTCCACAATCTTTGTCAATGTCGCAGAGGGTAAAAAGGGCCTTTGGCTACTGTAGTTTTGAGGCTGCACGCAACCCTTTCCCTCCGCACCCTCCCCTGCTGGGTTTCATTCTCCCCTGTTCTTCCCCACGCCACTGTCTAGAATCAAGACCCAATTCCCTGGAGAAGTTCTACCCCCTCCCTCACCACCCCCCATCACTTCCCGCGCCAACATCAGACACTGGATCAGCCCGAAGAAGGACTCCATCCACAGCATCCAGGGGTCCATCAGTAAGTGCCAGAAGGGCGGATGGGTGGTGCAAGTTTTCCTAAATGGACCCAGCAAGCAGGGAGATGAGGCCATTGGCTACAAGGGAACATGGGGAGGGGGAGGGTCAAGGAGGGTCTTGAAACAGCAGCGACTGAGTTGGCACATATCAGACTGATACTGGGGGAGGGCATGCTGACTATGGGATAAATACAGTTTTTCAGAGCCTCTCAGCTGGAAGTCTAGGGGACAAAAGTCTCCAGCAAAGGCAGGCACCAGGGAGTAGAAGACTTAATAGTTTCCTCCTAAATGTCCTCTATATGCCAGTTCCCCCACTGTTACAAGAGCCTTCTCTATAGTACCCACACACATATGGAAGATTACAGGTTCCCAGTGAAGGCAAACGATCTGAAATTCACAGACCACTCCTTCTTTTCTCCACAGTGTCCCCTCACACCGCAGCCACCAATGGAGGCTACTCCCGAAAGAACGATGGTGGCTTCTTCTCCACCTAATGTTGATAGGCCCTGGACTAATTAATCATAGTGAACATCCTGCCACCCACCTCCATTAAAAAACATGTGCAATGTGAAGCCTGAAGTGTCTGTTACCCACAAGCTATGAGTTGCCACTAGGCTCCTCTTAAAAGACCTGAGAGGCCCTGGCCTGGTAGCTCAGTCAGTGGCAGCGTCATCCCAATCCACCCAGGTTACGGGTTAGATCCCCTGTCAGGGCACATACAGGAATTAACCAGTGAATGCATAAATGACTGGAACAAATTGGTATTTCTCTCTCACTCTCCATAAAAAGTCAATTAAAAAAAAAAAAAAGATGGGAGGGAAGTTTCCCAACTTCTAGAAACTAGTCTTGTTGGGATTATTTGCAAGAATGTAGGACAGAACAGCCCAGTTTGGGGCAGGCGGCAGGTATTCGTATTTTGTAAACTGAGGTCATTCCCACTGTCTAGATACATCCACTCAGTATTGAATGCAAACCTTGGTGTCAGAGCTAACTGTTGAGGAAACAAAAACGGATGTAGTCCATTCTGTTAGTGATATCACCATCACTGTAATTTCAGTAGCTCTACAGATGCACAGACGTAAACAACACAGAAATCTGTATACGAAGAGTGACTGCTGGCTGGTATTGCCCAGGGAGCACTAGTATTTACGCTGATGTCAAACCTAACCCAGTTCTGACTTCCTGGGTTTAGATGTCTGCTGGGCTCTACTTTTCCATTGGGGGGGCTCCATCTTCTGGGTCCTGGCTCCTTGCCATTGTTTTTGCTAACTGCTACTTCTTCTTGTTGGGAGTTAATTCCCTTTTCTTTGGGTCAGTTTGTGCTGAAATCTACCCCTGACTCTTATAAACATGAATCAACAATCTGGTGCTTAGTTAGGTTTGAGCTACCTAAATATAATGTTAATGTGGTTTCTAAAGTTACAAGTCACTGCAAACTGCTGTTAGATTGGGCATAAGATAGGAAAGGCTTCTTCCTGGTACTCAGGTACAGGGTCCTTAAATACCACCCATCACAGCTCCTCTTCCACTATTCAGATAGTGTTATCTGCTGCCAAATGACAACAGGACATTTCCGTTTTAATTATTTAGAATGGCTGGAAGTAGCAGAGAGGCGACTCTGGTCAGTCACCGCATGCAGGGTGATACTGAACATCAAAAAGTCACTGCTGTGATCCAGGCATAGAGGCATAAAAATAGAGTCCTAGACTTCCCTGATAATTCTAACTCAGTAAATCTATGGCGGTTCCCTGGAATCTGAATTCTTATAAGCTCTGCAAGTTCTTATGAAGAGACACACACACACACACACACACACACGCGCGCGCGCGCGCATATATACTCCTATATCCCTTAGCGGCAGGCGCTGTATATAGTGCAGGTACACCAGGTGCACCACTGTAGGTGCCATCCAATCATCGTGACAAGGCGGGCCTAACGGAAAATAGGGGGGAGGGGAGCTAGAGAAGAACAAAGCCTCCGTCCCCTTCCTGCTACCGCTCCCGCAGGCCTCGGGGCCACAGCTCAATCCCCTCCGCCCTCGCCCGTCTGTTGCCGACCGCTAACGCGTTAGCCGCGCACCACCGGCAGCAGCGTCCTGGGCCGGGCTCAGATCAGAATCGCCTCGATAATCAGCGGCCCGGGACAAGCCCAGCCTCGTCTATCTGATCAATTCATCACTTCTGAGCGCCGAGCCCCGTAGGACTGGCTCCGGGGCCGCGGCGCTGCCGCCACCCAAGGGGCCTCGCTGCACACCGCCCCGAGGAGGGGGCTTCGCAGGAGGGGAGCTTTTCATTTCGGGTCGGCCTGGCGGGGCTGGGGTCACAACCCGATCAAATAAGATCAACGTGTAGGCGGGGGGAGAAGCGCAGGGGGCGCGCACTCGCCTTACACACACCACGCACAATCATATTCACGCGTCCACTCACACACACGGCTCACACGCGCCATCCATGCGACACCACAGCACCCATGAATAACACACAACCACCGCCCCCTAGGCCGCTCTCCCTCCTGGGAAGAGCGGAAGTCCGCACCCTCTTTTATACCCCTTCGCTGCCTCGGAGGCTGCTGGGAGGAACCACCGAGCACAGGCCCTCGTCGACCGCGGGCTTTGCTGCCCTCGCGTGGCTCGGAGGGGAAGCCACGTCTTAGGGGCGGGCGGGACAAATTCCCACAATAGGGAACCGAAGTGGGCCTTTGATCTTCATGCAGCTGCGTACTTATATCCATATCTGTAGTTTTTCTTTGTCCTTTGATTCAAGTTCTGGGTATAAGATGACTCAATTTCACCAATACGTGAATGACTCCTTTCCCGTGGAGAACGCAAATCCTGGTCTTTACCAACATCAGCTTCCCCAGTTCCTTCTCCCAAGACAGCAGGCAAGTGGGCGTTTTACCAAAGGGAAAGGTGAGACTACATTAGGTGGTCAGGACAGCTGTGAAATGAGGTAGGAAGGCAGAGCACTTTTGCTCCCCAGAACTTGGTGCTGCGGAGTCATACTGCTGAGCATATCCATTAAAACATATCAGACTCTCAAACTCCGGAGTCAAGTGAAAACCAGAAGTGATTATATAAATAGAATTAGCTCCTTTTACAATCAGAGAGCACAGTTTTAATGTCTGTTTCTTCTCCTTTTTCAATGAAATAGATATATATCTGGGGAAAACAAATCCGAAGACTTTTGGAGACTAGAAATGATTTGTGAAGTTAAAATTTGTACTTTTGTCAGTCTCACCATGCACTTGGAATAAACACACAGGGGAAAATATCCAATGTGTACGTGTTAGAATCCCATGGCTCAAGGGTTTTTTAGGTGTGTGACTGGTTAGCCTGACAGCATCCTTTGAATGAAGTTTATGGCTAGTAAGGGCAGTTGATACTCGTACTTTAATAGCAGTAGGTAAAATGTATTGGGGAGTATCATCTACCTTAATGCACCTCAAAATTTATTCCTATATATGCTAATATATGCAGTATAAGCGGATACGGATATCAGCTCCCCCCAAAGAAGCAAGCTACACTCTCATGGATTCTGGACTATGTATACCATACATTCTGTGAACATCACAGGGGTTAACAGGAATGATGGTATAAATTAATTTAAAGTCAAAAGGAATAGGATGGCAGAAACCAAGGGAAGATTGAACAAAGTTCAGTAAATTCAGGATGTGACAAATAAAATAGACAAAAACAGTAGGGAAAGGAATTTTATTTTCAAGGATTTGTGCAGACAATGGTGAATAAAAAATTGTATTTCAATTATAAAAAGCTGATTCCATTCCACCCCGGAACTCAGGGTTTACGGTGATGCCAGTTTGAGTTGGGGGGCGATGTTGCTATCCCCATTCTTTCACTCCTAAGGCTCTCCTGGGGAACACTTCCTACGATTTTCAGTCAAAAAATATGACACATCAAGCAAAGTAATGAATTAAACAGGTTTCTGCTTATTGGCTTATATAAAGTGAAATAAGCTGCATACTTTGTTTGTTTATTTGTTTGTTTTTGCTGTAAATTGCCTTCACTCTGTGCGCTTTTTGGTATATTCTGGAATGAAAACACCTCAAAACATTACAATTCAAGAGTCAAGATGACACACCCAGGAAATTGTAAAAATTGGTTTGAATAACCAGAACTGTGAAATGAGACTAGTTTAAAATATGAAATAGCTCTAAGCACCGAGCTTAGAGACATTAGCCCTATTAGAAAACAAAAGTCATTAAAGCTACACAGTAACAAGTGCAAACATGCCGAACCTGTCACCCAGCTGGCCAACAGGTCCCAAACTTACACCCACGAGGTGTAACTCTTCTCTCCCTTTTCCTTTCTCACATATGAAAGATCCTCAGAAATGACCATGGAAAACCTATGAATCATTGAAATTTACCCTGTGGACCAATTCCTGAAGAGATAATAGCCACAACTCTGAGATGATTAGACGTGTGTAGTGTTTTCGAGACGACTTTCTATACTTTGAAAAACCCTTAAAGGCTGAACTGTCTATTTCAGAACCTGGCTTCCTAGCAGCTTTTGTCCTTCTGGAGTGAGACAAAGGACAACCGACTGCCACACAGGCGTCAAGCACAGCTCACTTGCCCACAGCCAAGTTTTACTCCAATGAACAATGCAACTTGTAAACCTATGTAGAGGCTTGCTTTTTACAATAATTTTAGATCAACTTTTTTTTTTTAAATAAAGAAGTTCTAGGCTTCAAAACTGTAATATTTGATCTTTCTGCTAATATGAGGAGGGGATGTAGAAGTCTCCCCTTCAAATGTTGAGTGACCTAAAATGCTTGGCTCAGGAGTTACCATACTCTATGGAAAAGCCATCCATCCAGTTGCCAGTCTTTGTTTTCCTTTACTGTAAAAAACACCCTCGTTTTATTCATAGAGTCTATGAACTGTCCAAATATGCCTATGGATATCAGCAGGTTCTCTCGCTCATTCGAATTTCTCATCTTCTTATAATACAGAATTTACCAAGGACAGCTAAAGAGGATTGCAACATGAAGAAAATTAAAAGTTGGCCAAGAAAGTAATCAACTAAAAGTGGCCATAATAATTCAGATTTAAACAAAGAATAAGTTTGTATTGTGGATAACGTGACAAAATTTCCATCTAACATCACAATTTATACTAGATGACTTCACTAGAATATGAATTAACATACTAGATTTACTTGTTCTACCCTAGCTGCAAATATATTAAACAATGATTTCTTCAATTATTTCTCTTTCCCCTTGTGGTGGCATTTAAAACTGAGTAACAGTATTTAGCACTCAGTAATTTAGAAAATATAAAAAGGCTTAGGAAAATAGAAACAGTGGACTCATTTTCTTATACCATTTGTTGGGGTGAAGTCTCCTTTTGGGGATACTGGTGAACAGAACATTTTTTCTTGTCTGAGTTACTGCTTTCTAGTCTCATCACAGACAGAAAGCTCCCAAATCTCACATAGGCCCAGATTATATTGGCAAAACTCTCCAGCACACAGCACACAGCACACAGCACAGCGATTTCATCTGTTCTCTGTTTGCAGCGTGGATGGACCATGCCTCTCTCATGTTGCCAGATGGGTATATGAAAGATAAATTTCCAAAGCCAAAATATTTCTGGGCATTGTACAACTCCTGTTTCCCACCCAGTTCCCCCCAACCCCCATCTGCCAAATCTAAATCAAAACAGTGGGAAAAAAAAGTCAAGTCTTGAAAGTTCTCTCCAAGAGATCTGAACACAGCACATGCCCTTACCTAATGACCTTCAGCTTGAAAAGATCCTGGCGAGGCTGAGGACAAAACAGGTGACGGGTTTTTAAGCAGGAGGTATGCAACGTTATCGCCGAAGGGTGGAATCTATCTGGACATTATATGCTGTCTGCGAGGACTGATTTAAGGAGGTTGGCTTTCTGGAGTCCCCTGAAGCATAAATAATGTTTGTGACCATGAGTCTCCCCCACACACGGGAGGGGCAGGTGCTGTGGTGTCATCCCGGGGACTTGGATGATTTTAGCTGAACCTCCTACGCCGGGCCCAGGCCCCCAACAGGTTCTTCACCCCCATCCCTTGGTTGGCAGTTGATGAGATGGAGGCTTTGGAATTCATTTTATAAACAGGACGTAAAAGGCCATGATGACGCAGGTGACTGCCACAGCAGCATGCAGCCTGGTTCCAATCACAGCAGCTGGCAGGCAAAGGGAGACAGGGAGAAGGAATCACAGCCTGCCCTTCATAGGGTCCTCACTCCCCCGGCGATACTTTGAAATCTCTAGTTGCAGATGCAGAGACCTACCAACAGTCTCAAGAGCCCACTGGGGCATGTACTTAAGTACTGCCCTGGGTTCTAGGCGGATATACCTTTTGTTTTGGCCCTGGCTGGTGTGGCCCAACAGACTGGGTGCTGGCCTGTGAACTCAAAGGTCACCAGTTTGTTTCCCAGTCAGGGTGTGCGGCCGGTTTGCAGGCCACACCCCCGGTTGGGGGGCGTGAGAGAGGCACCAGATTTATGCGTCTCTCACACGCTAATGTTTCTCTCCCTCCGCCCTCCCTTCCCCTCTTTCTAAAAGTAAATAAATAAAATCATTTAAAAAATATATATCTTTTGTTTATACTTTGCCCTATTTTGCAAACAGACTTAGGTAGTTAGGATTCCAAATGAAGGTGCCCAAAATAAAAAATAAGAAAGCATTTCAGTTAATAAAATCAAAACTTAATAGTCTCCACTATATTCTTTCCAGATTTTCAGAAAAACTTTTCATTGGGAAAATGCTCCTCCCAACAATACCAGTCCAGTCTAAAAGTGTTTAATTTACATTCTTTTCCTCTGTGGAAAATATTAAAATTACCTTGATGCTAAAATAAACTAGTACATAAAAGAGGAACCAAATACAATCCTAGCCTATTTCGCCCCCCCACCCCCTACTTTGAGGCACACCTCACTGTCTAGAGACAGCACCCTCCTCTTCCTGTGCGGATATGACCTTACCTTTGTAAAACACACCCCAGACTCCCTTCTTCTCTGACAGCAGCCAGGTTTTAAGACGAGGAACTTTCTTGAAGTAGGCACACGTACAAATGAAGAGCAAACCAAACACCAGAATCCCATCCAAGGAGTACACTGTTACAGGAAGAAAAGAAAACCTTTGTGCTAATCATTTTGGGACAGGTGATCCCCTGGAGAACTCCAAGGAGTAGAGTGTGATATGTTAGCAAGACGATAACCTCAAAAGCAGTGCCAGCCCTTGACACAAGGAGGCCAAGGTCCTGGGACTAGCAAGGTTACCCTACCGTTTCCCAAAATTGCTTGTAGCTATCCCTGTGCCCTGCCTCCTCTCCCCTTCTAGGAACTACAAATCCTGAGAATTTTATGTGGCCCCCAGGGATGGCCAGTGTTGGCAAGAGGTTGAGAGAGTCCTAAGAATCCTTGGAGCCTCAGCTGAGAATTAAACACATTCTTATTATAAATCATTCATGTGATAAAGGAGAGCTAGTTATTTAAGCAAGTCTCTCTGATCTGCATCTGTTGAAGAAAATGTTAAGGCAAAATGTGGAGCTTTTCAACATTTCAACATAGTGGAACAATTCTAATTCTATTGTGGGGATAAAAAACTTCGAACAATTCTATTTCTTACATATGTAAACTGAGCTATAACTTGTACATGTAAGTAAAACCAATTGCCTAACTGCAAAAGAAAAAAAAATAGGTTATCGATCCACAAAAGGCGGGAGGGTGACTAAAGTTTATTCAGCAGTTATTATGTGTCAGACTGTTCTCTTATTTTCTGGTTCAGATGATTTCTTGTTCTGAGAGATGTCCCTTCTCTTGTACCTGGTAACCTCAGATCTCTGACTGCCCGGGAAGCTCCAAAAAGATCATTTAAACAACCAGCATCTGCCACTTTCGGACCACTCTACCTCCCTCTCTCCCTCCCTCTCTCCCTCCAGTAAAACTCTCACAGCAAGGTGTCACAAAAGAATTAAGTAAATTAATACACTTTTCCTTACTGATTTGAGAGAGAGAGAGAAAGGGAGAGGCACAGATTTGCTGTTCCACTTTATTTATGCATTCATTGGTTCATTCTTGTATGTGTCCTGACCCAGGATTGAATCCATAACCTTGGCATATGGGGATCATGCTATAACCAACTGGGCTACCCAGCCAGGACTACATACACTAAGTTTTTAAGATGAATAATACCTTTATGTGCTGGTCTTTTCTTCCCTTAACTTTTTGCAGATCAGGACAAAATTGACAAGGAGGTGAAATTGGAGTCTCCGGTGCCAGGCTATGGAAGAAGTTCTTTTGAGAAATGCTTTCTTGTGCCCCTCAAATCTTATTGTCTAAGGGGCTCTCTGTTCTTCCCTGTAAGGCTGACTCTAAAGACCATAAAAAGCCCTGCTTCCTGCCCTTCCCTGGAATTCGGAAATCACGTCTATAATGTGTTTGAAGAGGCCCAGAAAATTAGGTCAGATGAACAGGATGCAACTGCCACATCATTTAGAAGAGGCAGCATCTAAACCCAACACTAGCCAGGGTCTCCAGATGGAATCACTCAAACACATCTTTAGAACCAAACAAGAAAAAGTTTTCCAGCATTATTTCAAAAGAAGGCCATTTCAGGCTCTGACATTCACCCTTCAAAAGTGTGGAGCTTGAGATCCTCTGTGATTTCTTGGTCCTCCTGTCGCAAAGTATGAGAACGTAGGGAGCTGGGAGGAAGACCCTCTCTTTTCCCTCCTGCTAAAGCAACAGTTCAACCCAGAATGGCCATTGCAAGGGCCAGGACGAACTTCTAGGAAGGGGAGAAAGGAAAGCAAAGGGTAGGAACCGAGGACGCACGGTGTGGGCGAGAGAGGCACTGGGGTTCTAGACGGACATGGGGCCCGGGGACCGGGGAGGGGTCTAGAGGACAGAAGTCAGGGGCAGATAAACAGGCCGAGCGGGGCTAAGCGAGGAGGGGGCGGGGAGGCGGCCACGTCAGTCACGGTCCCGCCCGCCACATTTCCCAACGTCCTTCCCTCCCATCCTCCGCTCTGGGCATTGGCTCTTACCGTTCGTCATGGCGGCTCGGCCCGGGCCTGGCTAGGGGGTCCGGGATCAGCGGTGGCAGCCGAAGGCGGGGGAACCCAGCTCCGGCTGGACACTTCCCGATCCCGGCCGCAGTGACGGGTAGGAGCCGTAGTACGCATGCGCAAGGGCAGGGAGGCGAGCGCCTAACGCAACCAGGAGTGGCTAGCAGATTGCCGAGCTAGGGGACCTGCGTGGGTGGGTTTGCGTGCAGACGTCCGGGTAAGAAGTGCGCTCTTCAGGAGGCGTCCTACGTGGCCATGGTAACCAATCTCCGTAGCGTGCTTGTGCAGAATTTGTGCTCGGGCATAACCTGGCATGTTCATGTTGTTGTGGGTGAAAAGGTAAGGATTTGCAGCTTTGCACTTTATTTTGTGCTGTGGCGGCCGCTTTGCGCGTTTTTATGTCTGTAGCCCACCTGCAACAAAGAGGTCTCGGTCCCGGGCTCCCACCTAAGAACCCTCGCATGAGGGATGAAAAGGGATCCCCTGCGACCCCCAGGACTGCCCTTACCGGGCCGCTCTTTCTTATTCCTTATGGAAATCTGAATAGCCAGGCTGCGTCTGAATTTCTAAATGAGATAGGGAAATTATAAAACAAACAAACAAACAAACAAACATCTCATATTTCAGATCCTAAAGCTCCACGTTGTCGGGAAACATTCAGATCACTGCTTGTTTGTTTGTATGAATTTTTCCTTAAACTTTCAGGAGAGTGTCGATTATCTTCAGTATTTGGTTATTGCTGTGATCACCTCGGCTACTTGCACCAGAAATGGGGAGATACCTGACAGCGCTTCCCACAGCACTTTGACAAGCTGAGAAGAGATATTGTCAGTTTTTAGTGGGGATCTGAGGTGGAGGAGGCGTGGAAACAAAGCCTCAGATTCCATTTTGTAAATTGAAATCCTTAATTGCACACAACTCGCCCTGTTTTATCAGACTCCGGGCTAGAGAGCGACCCTGAGTCCTCCGAGGATGAAATCTTAAGGTTAACTATCCGCAGTGGTTGTCGCGCTCCTGGAGGGACTCTGCCGCCTTTGCCACAGTGCCATCTGCTGGCTGCGGAAGAAGAGCCACCAAAGCCTCCTGGAGGCAAAACAAAAAAGTGCGACGCAGGACAAACTCTTCGCGATAATAGACATAAATGTAGAATCAAAAAGAAAAAAAAAAAGGAAGATATACGGGACAAAACCTGAGAAGGCCAGACATATGCCTACACATGCACAAGTAGAGTGATTAGTTGTCTAATGACTCTTTCAAAGGACAATGAAAGACCACAACATCTTATTTTGCATAAGCGACTATTTTTTCCCCCACTCTGCTCAGAATTTACCCATTTCTCTTTCGCCTTTTTTCATGTGTCTGTCCTCCTCACCTTCCTGCTCGCTCTTCCCACACATTCATATCTGTTTTCTTCCTTATTTAATCCCCTTCACGATATTTTTTCTTTTCCAGTTCTTATAGTTTACCTTTTTTAATATAAAGCAAATCTCACCAGATTTTTATTTCAAAATCAGTTATACCAACAAATTTATATTTTAAAAAACTATAGAATTTTGTTACTCTCTGTAACATTGGTTATAATGGTCGTTCCTTTCTAGGGTTGTTGAAGGATTAAGTAAATGACTGTTTACAACACCTGGCATGAAGCAAGTGTCCCATGAATGTTACCTATTACTGTTGTTGTTGTTCATTTGTTTGTTTTTAAAAAATATTTACCAGGGTCTACTACATGCTGGTCACTTTGTTGGATTTGCAGGAATAAAAGCAAAAACGAGTCCCTTGCTCTTAAGAAACAAACTATATTGGGCATGATATGCATAAACACATTTTAGCAGAGCACAGGTATTGTGTGTGTAGACGTTACCTATGATCTTCCCAACTGTTTTGCAGAATATTTTTTTCAGGAAGAAATCTGAGGCTCAAAGAAAGCACATGGGTGAGGTAACATAGCCAGCAAGGCTTCAGACGTAGGTCTGTCTGACTTCAAAGCTCCCTCCCCCTGTTATCACACAGCCTCAAATTAGGATGCTGTTACTGATACCGATCTCTGATGATTTTGTTTCAAGCATTAGTGTTTCTGTCGCCCTGGAAAGCCCCGGAGCCTCACATCAGGGTCACTAGCTCTTGCAGCCCAACTGTGAGGAATAAATAGAGCCCCGCTGGCTGGGGACTCAATTCAGACAGTCCTTCCTCAGTTCACTTCAGCCTCCACGGGAGGACAGGCAGTTGTTGCCAAACGCCTGTCAGTCCAGAACAGTGGCCTGTTTGTTAGAGCTGTTTCGGTCACTGTGGCAAACACTAATCAGTCCTGGGGACCATGGCGATGGCATTCTGGTTTAACCAAAGAGTAAATTCAGTCCCAAAGGCACAGCTTGCAACAATAGCTTCATTTGAATTACAACATATTTGAAAAGGGATGTCAAACAGGCATTAATTTATGCTGGAAATATTTGTTCCAGGACTTTTAAGTGTAAGGAATGTGCCAGCCTTTGGGAGCCCAGAGATGAAAGAGAAACACTGTTCTTACTAAGGCTGAGATTTAGGAGAGGAGGTAAGCTGGGCGTATAAATAACCGGAAAATACAGTAGAAAATGAGAGGCTTTGCAGGAAAATGGAAACAGTGCTATGGGAGTGGAAAGAAGAAAGTGCCAGGGAAGGCTTACTGGAGGAGCAGACGTTTTAGCTGGACCTGCCGCATTTCAGTAGAAAGGTAAGGAGTACGAGCGCTCAGAGGCATGGAGAAAGAATGGAGTTCAGGGCACTGCACGCTCTTCCCTCCCGCCTGCACTGGCAAACTCTGTTCCTCGCTCAGGCCTCAGCTCAAACCACACTTGCTTGAGGGGGGCTCCTCTGAGCAAGGCCTACTTGGGCCCCTACCCTGTCATAAACTTCCAGAGCATACCTTATCTAAACAATTTTTTTAAAGATTTTATTTATTTATTTTTAGAAAGCTGGGAAGGGAGGGAGAAAGAGAGGGAGAGAAACATCGATGTCAGTGATCGGAAGTGCCCTGACCAGGAATCAAACCGATGACTGTTCAGTTCCCAGGCCAGCGCTCAACCCACTGAGCCACATCAGCCAGGGTCAGAGCATCCCTTATCTATTAATTCATGTCCCTCTGCTACATAAGGCTCGTAAGCTGAGGGCTGTGTATTTGGATAGTCTGTCATTTTATCTACAGTCCTATAGCAAACACTGAACATTTTACAGGTGCTTGATAAATATTTATTTCATGAATGATTGATCGTGGCCTGTGGAACTAGAATGTGGAGTTCATGAAGGAGAACAGCAGGTTATGCTGAAAGGTAGGTTTTGGGGAAAAAAAAAACACATGACACTTATGGAATGTTCACTACATTCCAGCTACTCCCCAGAGCTCCTTATGGGTAAGAACACATCTAAGCCTCATAATAGCCTTGTAAGGTTAGTAACTATTACTATCCCTCTCTCACGGATGAGGAAATGGATCTATGGAGAGGTCAAGTAATCTGCCTCAGAGTAGCGCAGCAGATTTCCAGCCCTACTCTTCGACCTCAGAGCTGCCATGTGTTACCAGGGTATGGACGTTATTTGGTGATCAAGCGGGTCCGTTAAGATTGCGCAAGATTATTGCGGAAATTCTGAAAGCCATGTAAAAAATAACGCCACCTCACTAAGCCCCAGATGCGGAGGGTCTATACCTTGGGGAGGAGGGGAGCGAGTGAGGGTGAAGTGGGGTCAGGGCAAGGGTGGCACTGCGCCGTTTCTGCCTGAATTTGGGGCCTGGCTGGTACGGCCTGCTTGTCCTCGTCTGTCACCGTGCCTCAAGCCCACTGCCCGCCTTCCTCTCATCTGATATCCCACCCCTGCATCCCTTGCAAATTATTCTCACATAACTCAGCTCTCCTCCCCTCTGTCTGCCACCTCATCTGCCTCTCTACATCCTTCTGTTAACGAACCTCTTTAACAGCTCCTTCCTCTTTTTTGCTATCATTTATTCAGAGTCCACTTTCCTTGATCCTTCTGCCCTCTAAGGCTACTTTTCTCCCTTTGCTTTCCTTTCTTTTTAAAAAATTAACCTTTAGAGAGAGGGGAAGGGCGGGAGAAAGAGGGAAACATCAATGGGTTGCCCCTTGCAGGCACCCTGACAAGGGCTGAGCCCACAACCCAGACGCGAGCCCTGACAGGAATCAAACCAGTGACCTGTCACTTTGTGGGACAAAGCCCAACCAACTGAGCCACACCAGACAGGGCTCTTTGCTCTTCTACTCTTCACTATCCTTAATCTCTAATAACCTGGCTTTCCTCTTACCATTGCCCTCAAAACAGTGTGTCCAGATTATTCCACCACCTCCTGCTCTCAAGTCCAGGCCTTCCTTCAGTCTCTTTATGTCTAGCACTGAACACACCAGACCACAGGCTGCCTTTTGAAATTTTTTCTTTTTTGGCTTTCAAAACATATTTCTCTCCTCCTCTCTCTCTTCCTGCTCTTCGTCTTTTTTATCTTTTATCTCTTGAGCCATTCCTTCAGCCTTTTCTTTCTCTCGATGTACCCTTTCTAAGGGTCTGCCCTTTGCCGCCCTTCCCCCTTGCCTTTGTTCCAGTGCGTCTCTGAACTTTCACCTTGCATTTGGCTCTCCCCTGCTGTTTTCTGTAGCCCTCCCTTCTCCGTGGCTTTGCAGGCCATCTGTCTTTAGGACATCTCTAGACTCTCAGACTCAGACTGAACTCATTTTCTTCCTTCCCCTTTTACATTCCAATTAATATTAATAACAGTCTATCAGTCTGCATGTCAGCATCTCTCTCCATAGCGCTCAGATTCATTCAGACACAAAGTCCTGGGAATCCCCACCCTACGGTCCCTTCTTTCTCTTAATTCAGCTTCCGATGGCCCCGCATCCATGGTGGTCTGCCTGTGAAAGGGAGCTTTTTGAAAACGATAGGGGCGTGGGACTTTTCTGCTCAAAGACCACCCAGGAACCCTGGCCGTCTGAGGAGAGCAGACAGGGCCTTTCAGCCTCTGCTGCCAGCCTCACTCTTTCCTGCGCCCCACGCAACACACTCGGCTCTGGCAATGCGCTCAAAGCACAAATGCCTTGGAGAAACAGAGCAGGACTCTTCTCTGTGCTTTCTTGCTGCTCTGCTTGTAACACTGCGATTTTTTCCCCCTTTATGTCTTGGCTCTTCAGTTTAGAAGATTGAACGACTCACACTCCACAATTCATGACATGCAATGATAATTGGCCCTTTCAAAGTCCTTCACTTGTCATTTCTCTCTATGCATTGCCTTCATCCGTATTCCCATTTCTTTTACCCCACAGCCTTTCTAATGTATTTAAATGTTATGCTTTTTAATGTTACTTTAAAGTATGTATTTTTTTGTGTTTGTATGTTTAATTTACATAAATGGTATTGTGCTGTAGATCTCATTGTGTTTCTTTTCAAATTTAACGCTGTTTCTAAGCTCCGTCCATATTGCTAGCGGATTGCTCCTGACCGCTGCGTAGGGCTCCTTGGTGCGTGTCCAGCGCATCTTCCCTGTCCACCCCCCTGATGCCGGTCACTGTGAATGCTTTACACCCGATCCCCTGCACAAGGCCAGCATTCATCACTCTCTAACAAAGCAGTTCTCAACCTATCAGACTCTATAATCTCCCTTGAATAACAAATACTTTGTAATGTGTCTTTCATTACTCTGAAATGAAATTCAGATGCTATAACCTACCATTGGAGGCACCTCTCTGCACCCAACGATGTCTGCCTCCTGGTGTTCTCATCCTTGTGTAACCCCGAGCCCTTGATGGCGGGCTGCCCTTATTGACTGGTAGTGACTGTAAGTGATGGGGTATCACTTCCAAGGTCAGGTTACAAAAAACACACACACAAAACCCTGTGGCTTCTGACTTGGGTGTTCTCCCCCATTCTCCCTCTCACCTGCTCTCTGCCCCGTGGAGAGGACTGGGTGGCAGGTAACCGAGGAGGCCTCTGACAACAGCCAGTGCAGGGCTGGAGCCCTTCATTTAACACCCTGAGGGAACTGAATTCTGCTGACAGCAGTGTGAGCAGTTTGGGAAGCGGACCCTTCCCCGTCACTGTGTCCTGTAAGACTGCAGCCCCAGCCAGCACCTGGGCTGCAACACAAGGGACCTTCAGCAGGAGGCACCCAGCTAAACTGCACCCAGAATCCCGACCCACAGAAATGGTGTGATAAATGTATATTGCCTTCACCACTAACTTTTGGGATAATTTGTTAACATAGCAATAAATAACCAATACACTTAACTACTCATGTAATTTAAAAATAATATATAATATTCTGGCTGAAATATAAAGTTAAATAAGGACCGTAAATTATGTGTTTCAAAGTGTAAATGCTCAGGGATGACTGTATAATGAGGCTATAATGATTTCAGATGCTTGCCCTATTTATAGAACCACCATGAACGCAGGCGCTCCAAATGCAGACTGCTTCCAGTGAGTGTCGGTTAGTCAAATTATTACAAGTAATATGGCCTTTGGTGACATTGTTTCCTGACATTGTTCACAGCTCTTCCCAAGTTCCAAACAAAACAAAGTAAAAATCTGTCCAATTTCAGGGTAGTTGCTATTTTGGGAAAAACTCCCAGTTCTTTCCTTCCTGGATGTATTTCTCCTTTACAGAACACTTCACTTGTGACATTTCTGGACACCAAATGTGTGGATATTTTCTTCCCTCTCTCCAAGCAATTTGGCGACCCTTGATAGGTGTCCTACAATTCAACTCATTTCTGACTATCTACCTGGAGTAGTGTCAGATCCCACAGGTTAAGAGCTCAGTCCCACGGGACTGCCCCCCCTCCGCCCCCCACATAAATGCCAGTTGCAGTAGTAGGGCCCCAGGAGAGCCACAGCTTCTGTTTAACTTGGCTGCAAATCAGAAGTTCCCGTGACCTCCTCCCCCTTGCATTTTATTATTTATTGGAACGGCTCACAGAACTCAGGAAAACACTTCTGTTCACTAGTTTATTAAAGGATATGATCAAGGATACAGATGAACAGCCAGGTGAAAAGATACATTAGGTGAGGTTTGGGAGGGTCCTAGGTGCAAAGCTCTGTCCCTGTGGAGTTGGGGTAGGGCACCCTCCCAGTGTGTGGATGTTTTCCACAACCTAGAGGCTCTCCGAACCTGCCACTATCGGGACTTTCATGCCTCCTGTAGGCACAGTCAATTAACTCCATTCTTAGCCCCTCTCCCCTCTCTGGAGAACGGGCAGTTGAGACTGAAACTTCCAAGCTTCGGTGGCTTGGTCTTTCTGGTGACCAGATCCGATCCAAGAGCCATCCCATAGTTACCTCATTAAACAAAAGATGCTCCCAGTGCTCTTATTAGGAATTTACAAGGGTTTTTAGGAGTTCTTTGCCAGGAATCGGGAGCAGGAATATGTAGGTGTATACATGTATATAGAAACAAAGTTAGGTTCTACACTCAGATTATAAACAGATTTTTCACTCACTCAAATGTTTCATAGGACTTCAGAAATAGTGTATCGTGGGACAATTTCTCCTTGTGTGGCATCATCTCTTGCATTGCACAACATTTATATCCTTAGCTTTAGATTCTAATGCCCATGGTTTTCCCAATCATTCTAACCAAAAAAACTACCCACAAAAATTTAACTCCTCAGTCCAAGGGCTGGAACCGCCCCCGTGAGAACTAGTAGTGAAGAACAGTATCCCCAATAACCAACACACAGCTTAGCATAAATAACAGCGGGACTCTAAAAGTTGTTAAAATTGTTTAAGTACACCCTTGGGACAGCCTGAGACCACTGGCTAGCCCCACAATGATCCATCCATAGCTCGGCAGTCCCGAATCAGAGAGGGATGACTCCGCACGCAGAAGGAAATTTAGGGTGATACACGCCGCCTAGGCTTCCTTTTCTTTGCTAACCTTTAAGTCCTTCTTCGGGATCTGAGCCAAGAGCGCATCCTTAAGTCCCTAAAACGTCCGGGGTCCACTCCTAGTCGGTGCGCATGCGTAGCCTTCCCGCAGGCCCGCCCGATTAGGCCCCGCCCCGGCCCCGCCCGCGCCCGCGCGTCACCGGAAGTGAGGTAGCGGAAGTAGTAAAGCCTCCCCTGAGCGAGGGGCGCCAGTCCGTACGCTGGCTGGTGGGATGGCGGACGAGGAAGAGGACCCCACTGTGAGTGACCCCCTCTGTTTCAACCCGCTATTTTCCTTACTCCCTCGGGTACAGTAGCGGAGGCCGCCTTCGGAATTGGGTCTGTTTTCCTTAGTGAATTCAGCCGGCATAGTTGGCGACTTGAACCCTGCTGGGCTCTTTCCCTTCGTCCTTTTAGAAAGGAGAAGGGGAAGGTGGCCCCTTGCCTTTTACTTTTGGCCAGTATCTATCAGACACTCTTTGCAACGCCTGGAGAATCATCTGAGGTCAAAGCTAATGTTTGTTAGAGCTCACTATGAACCAGCAGTTCAGCTGCTCGCGAAACTGCACTTACTGTAAAGTATGGACCGAAAGTTGCAACCTGGGCTTCAAAACTTCTGTTCTCTGACCAAGTTATTTAAGTTCTATCCTTGGTGTTTATGTCATAAAATGGGGTTAAGGCTTAAGACCAGCATCGTGTAAGCAGCACTTAGTGTTAGCTTTGCTCGCTTTGATTCAGTACCAGTTCTTATAATCGTAAAACCGTCTAGCAGTAGGCCAACTGAATTGGTTAAAAGAAAAAAGGATGATCATTAGAACTTTTCCGAGAGAGACAGTAGGATTATTTTTAGAGACATTATAAAAGCCATTAGAGACATTAGAGACATATGCATGAGCTGGAGGTTGGACTAAAATGCTGTGATTTCATGAGTTTTTGTCCTTTGCTTTACGCTTCCTGGAATGATGTCAGTGTTGAAAACGGGGGAAAATATTAATTATTAAAAAATAAAATGCAATGCAATTACTTGACATTTTTATATACATTTTAACTTCTAGTTTGAGGAAGAAAATGAAGAAATTGGAGGAGGTGCAGAAGGTGGACAGGGTAAAAGAAAGAGGCTTTTTTCTAAAGAATGTAAGTAATATTTACAATGATTTTATTATAGATAAAACATTTTGGACATGTGCACTCAATGTAGGTTTATTGTTCAGAATCTGTTTCCTTGTAAGGATACTATTCTGAGACTTGCCTGTAAAATTCCGTCTAACCTGTGAATCATAGCTGGTAATGGTCCTAATCCCAATTTATATATAAATGCACACAAACACACACACACACACACACACTCTTTTTTTTTTTTTTTAAGATTTTTTTTGTTTATTTTTGGAGAGAGGGGCGGGGAGGAGAAAGAGAGGGAGAGAAACCTCAATATGTGGTTGCCTCTTGTGCGTCCCCCACTAGGGACCTGGCCTGCAACCCAGGCATGTGCCCTGACTGGGAATCGAATTGGCAACCGTTTGGTTTGCAGGCCGGCGCTCAATCCACTGAGCCACACCAGCCAGGGCCACATTCTTTTTTTAAGCAAGAAAATGTGATGAGTGTTTCAGTTTGGGGCCTAAGAACACATCTCCATTTCTTTTCCCGTCCCTAACCTTCACAGCAGTAGAAGAAGAGACTTCTTTGACTATAAGCCAAAGGTTCGGATGGATCCTGGAACAGATGCGGAGGGTAGAAATTAAGCTGGAGCTTTGGACTAAGGTGGGAAGGTGGTGAGCAGTGTGGGGCCGTGTAGAGGTATAGAGATCGTAAAATATCGATCCTCTGTTCTACCTCACTAGCCAGGTTTGACCATTTTTGTCAGCAGCACGAGGGACTGGTCCTGCCCAAACCACAAAAGGCACCATGGGAGTATGTTCTCCATCCCCATTCCTGAGTCCCTTACCTTTAGCTGTGGCTAGCCGGTGCTCAGTCCGCTGAGCCACACCAGCCAGCGCAGCTGAAACTTTTATTCTCCTTGGATTGCTTTATTTTTATGATGAAAAGATTTGGAATCTTCACAGCTTTCTCCTTGTCCTACTGGAATTTTGATATACTTACTGACCAAGATCTTTTCTCCTAAGCCTTAAAAAAAATTTTTTTTTTTTTTTTGCTAATATAACAAAGTTTCAAAGCATTCACTGGTATTTGTTTGGCTTCAAGACCCTTTAGCCAAATACAGTGTACATACTCCCTGTCTAATATGTTTTCCAGTGAAATATATTTCCCTGCTGGTGAATTCTACACTTTCAGGAAAAATAATAAGCATATTATTATTTTGGAGAATCCTGGCAGACAGTACTTCAGCCATGTCATCAAAGTTCACATCACCAGTGACAGGTCGACATCATGTACTTGTGATACGATGCATTAAGAGGGTACACCACCCCTGTAGCACCCTTTTCGGGAATGCACAACCATAATCTAACCATTAGAAAATATCAGATAAGCCCAAGTTGGGGGACATCCTACAAGGTAACTGACCAGTATTCTTCAGAAGTCAAGGTCGCGAAAAACAAGGAAAGTCTGAGGAACTGTCACAAATCAGAGGAAGCTAAGTGGGCATGACAACTAAATAGTGTGGGATCCTGGAACGGAAAAAAGACATTAGTGGAAAAACTGGTATAATCTCAGTAACTTGTACCAAAGTTAACCTTTTAGTTTTGATAAATGGCTCTGGTTTTGTAATGTTAACATAAGAGGAAGCTGGATACAGGGTATTCAGGAGCTCTGTACTAATTTTGCACCTTGTCTGTAAGTCTGAAATTATCTCCAAAAAAAAAAAACTTTTAGAAACCAAAAAGAGAGAGGATGAGAATGAATGAATGAATGAATGAATGAGAAAATGAGACTGTTGGCTTCTGTGTTTGTTTTCTCCCTCTTGTATCTGGACCTTACCCTTAGGGATACCTCTATCCCGGGCTGGCTTCAGGTCACCCCTTTCATTGCTTCCCTAGGTCTGGTCTACTTCACTTAATTTCTGTCAGCTTATGCTTCTCTTAAATAGTTATTATTCTTAATGTACTCTTTTCTACCTTGAGATGTCTTCTAGGTGTTCATTGCTGTCTTTTTTCTTTTTTTAAAGTAAAATTTACATACAATAAATTGTGGGTGAATTTTACATATATACTTGTAATCACCACTCAGATTAAGATAAAAAGCATTTCCAATGTGACAGTTTCACATTTATATGCCTCTCTGGAAATCTGATAAGTGTTGATTTTTCTTCCCAGGAAAAATGCACACACATGTAATGTATAAAATTTTCGCATATAAGTTTAGGAGGGTTCGAGGACTTCTTAAAGCTTGTCCATGGACTGACTGGAGTTATATGGGCTCCAGGATAACAGTCCATCGGGGTCCCATCGGCCCTAAACTATCGCGAAGGGTAATACTACTGCTGTGGGTAGGAATATAGACTCTGGAGCCAGATCAGCTGGGTTCAAGTTCAGGTTCCGTCTCTAACTATCTGTGTAACTTTGGGTAAGTCACAAACTTGGTGCCTCAGTTTTGTCATTTATATAGAATGGGGATAATAATAGCATCTTTAAAAGGGTTGTTGTGAGGATTAAATGAGTTATATGCATGAAAGGCTTAAAACTGCCTGGCATACAGGGTGGCGCAAAAGTGGTTTTACAGTTTGTGTGGAAAAATACAATAATTAATAAATAATAAAAGAATGAACTGTTTTGCGTATTCACAAACCTGCTTTTGTCCCACCCTATTTAGTAAGGACTATGTAAGTTTTCGCTACTAGCAGTTATTTTTACTACTCTGTATTACACTCTTATTCTCTTGGATTTTTTGTGGTTCCCTCAGATGCAGCCTGAAAGGGCTTTGCTGGCAGTTGCATTGATCTAGGGAGTGAAATGTCAAGATTCTGTATAGTAAGCTCTTTGCTACCTCTTTTGATTATTGTATTCTTCCTATAAGAAGGTAATTAGAACATGTTCTCATATATCTTTTTCTCTATGGTAATGTCAGAAAGGATTTTTTCCTTCTGTTTTTATGCCCCACTGACCACCTCCCCCGCTTCCCAAGGGCAAAGTCATTGCCATTCATCCTACCTCTGTCTATTTTAAGGTATTATGGGCCCTGACCAGTGTGGCCTAGTGGGTTGGGTGTTGTCCTGTAAACAAAAGGTCACTAGTTCCATTTCCGGTCGGGGCACATGCCTGGGTTTTGGGCCAGGTCCTCAATTGGTGTGGGAGGGGCAACTGATCGACGTTTCTTTCCCTCTCTTTCTCCCTTCCCCTCTCTAAAAAGAAAGAGTTAAAAAAAAAAAGTATTCTGGGAAGGTTGATGATTAGATGATAGCTATGAGATTGTGGTTAAAACCTTTTACACCAAAATCATACTTGGACACAACAAATACAATGTAAATGTATTTTTATACCAGTGTACTCTATAACTTGGTTAAATTCCGATTTGAAAAAAGTATTGGTCAAGTGGTTGAATTTGTTCGAGTAAACAGGAATGATGACTCTTTTACAGTGCGATGTATGATGTATGGGTTTGGGGACGACCAGAACCCTTACACTGAGTCGGTGGATATTCTCGAAGACCTCGTTATAGAATTCATCACTGAAATGGTAAGGTTTTTTATGATTGGTTCTTAGTTAATTAAAAATAGATTTGAAATTCTGTCTTTATGTAAGACTAGAACTATGGCATCCTTTAGAAATAATCTATCCATTTGGGTGCCTGTTTTGTGGGAATTATTGTTTACTATTTATTACTAAGAATGGAGATATTTTGTGTGTGTTTATACATATATACATATACGAGGTCCATCTGGAAAGAGTCCAACCATTGTTAATATAACAAGAATGGTTTGTGCAACATCGATGAAACCTGGCAACCAGGGAAAGTGGACTGGAATGTGCATGTGTGAACAGTGACGACCTCACTGTACCAGTCAGTGGGGCAGTAGACTCCATTGAGTGACCATGTGTACCATGTGGCCGTCACAATCAAAATGTGTGAGTGGAGCAACAAATCTGCATCAAATTTTGCATTAAGCTTGAACATTTCTCCATGGAAACTATTTGGATGATTCAGAAGGCTGCAGCTATGGGCAGCTGCGTGGTGACTGGCAGCTTCATCACCGCAACGTGCCCACTCATGCATCATGTCTCATGCAGAGTTTTTTGGCGAAACATCAAATCACCCAAGTGACTCAGCCTTCCTTCAGCCTGGATTTGGCATCCTGTGACTTCTGGCTTTTCCCAAGTCTAAAATCGCCTTTGAAAAGGAAGAGATTTCAGACTGTCGATGAGATTTGGGAAAATATGACGGGGCAGCTGACGGCGATTAGAAGAACTGTGTGAGGTCCCCTAAGGTGCCTCCTTTGAAGAGAACCGAGGCATCATTGTCCTGTGCCCAGTGTTTTTATATCTTGTATCTTCTACAGTAAATGTCTCTATTTTTCATAGTACATGACTGGGTACTTTCTGGACAGACCTCATATGTACATGTATACGTGTGGTTATGCACACACAATATAGAGACAACTAATGCCAAGATTTTGGTGAATATTCTTTTGTCTTTTTGCATGTATTTATAAAATTGAAATTATGTGGTATATATTAATACAGTCTTATAACCTGTGTTTTTGTGGGCGTTCTTTTTCCCATCCAGGTAAGCCCAGACCGTTTCTCCATGTCACTGCATAGTACTCTCTATTTCCAGTGGTTTCATAATATTGAATAGATGTGCTCAGGTTTATTTACTTAAATATTTATTCACTACTTAGTTTCCCTTTCTTTGTCATCAGAAATAAAGCTGTGACGAACCTTTGTTTCTGCACAGGATGACTATCATGATAGGGGAGGAGATTTGACTTTAAGAAAACCGATCAATATTGAGATGAACACAAATTTTAAATGAAATTGGCGATTCCAAAGAAATTATGAAGTTATTTTCCACAAAAACTACATATATCAAAAAACAAGAAAGAAATATCAATAAATTTGGTAGCTTTCATGTCCTTAAAATTAAAAAAATGTGTATGAAGGAAGAGAAATGCTGCTAATCACACAGCAGAGAGTGGACAGAGACCATGAATGGAAAGATAATTCACAAGTGAATAGCTATAATAGTTAGAAGAAATCTTCAAATTCACCGGTATTGAAGACATACAACTTAAAAGAGTAAAATATTATGTTTTAAAAAATTAATTAAATTTTATATGTTTCTTTGTAATAGACTCACAAGGCAATGTCAATTGGAAGACAAGGGCGGGTACAAGTTGAAGATATTGTCTTCCTGATTCGAAAGGATCCAAGGAAGTTTGCTAGAGTTAAAGACTTGCTCACTATGAATGAAGAATTGAAGCGAGCTAGAAAAGCATTTGATGAAGCAAACTATGGATCTTGATGACTTTTCTACTTTCTGAAGCTTCATTATCTTCTGGAGAGACAAATAATCATATGTTTTACATAGTAAGGTTCTGACAACTAGCCATGTAAGTGAAAGATGGAGAAGCACAAAGTTTCCCACCTTTATTTTCATATTTTCTATTTTAGAGTGATAGTTGAGCCTTTAACTGCCTGCCATGATACTACCGCACCTGACTGACTTACTGGGTTTTAATGACCATGTGTAATTTCAAGGACCTTGCAAACCATGTAGAACTGTCTGACTTTTGATTGTCTAAACAATGAAGTAGTACTTCTGTATTAGGTGTATTTGTGCCATTGTAGGCTATGCTGTTTAATATGTAAAGTCTAAATGGCACCTTTGACTTTATGAGAGCTAAGACATGATAACTAAAGCTCCAACGTTTTTAGACTACAATAGTCTGAGAGGTAATTAAAAGGCAGTGAAATGGTTTGTGTTTCTTTTAAGAAGATGATAGAAGAATATACAGTCTTTTATAGGAGTGTTTATCTGTCTTAACGTAATAATTTGTTTTAATATTTTTTCCTTTTGATAAAGAGAGTGATGGGGGAAGGAGAAACTAAAAATTTCATGAATGCTTCTGTGTTGAAGCCTTTTTGATTTCAAACCTTTCGGGCTTATGATATGCTATTTGTCAAGTTTTAAGAGAACTTATTTTCCCAGGTCAGATTTCCCTTCTAAATAAAAACAAAGGCTTTCAGTAGGAATGCCATTGCTTAAAAAGCTGATGGCAGGATAAGCATTTGGGTAATGTTTTATAAACATTTGAGTACTTGTTCATTGCAGAAATGTGTACTTGACTAAAACCATATGCGGCTATGGAAACCACTTTTGTAGATCAGGATATACAGGTTTTGTGTGTATTTAGCTTATTGTATTAAATTATTATTGTACTTAGCTTAAAATAAGGATTAAAATTGCATTTAGAGAGATCAGTGAGTATTACTTTTTGTGAAACTGAATGTCTTGTGTGCCACTTCTAAACATTATATATCAGTACTTAGGAAAGTTTTACTTTCTTAACCTATTGATACAGAATTAAAGTATGAAAAATTAAAAAAAGATTAATACTTCAATTTGTGTGATTTTTTTTTTTTTAAACCATCCCATTACTGGTAATATAATTCTAGCTGCTGAATCTCATTTAAAACATTTTTTCTGTATTATTATTATAATGCACTTGAATTGATAGTGAAATTCAAGGTAGCTGGGCTGATCTTTTTGTTATTTAAAAAAGTAAAAACGAGTTGAGAAGCTATTTCAGTCTAAGCCGAAGTCAAGAAGGGGAGCAGAATAATAAAACATTAATCTCTCACCATTTTTGCTGATGAGGTCTTCCTCGCTCTGGTGGAGGAACTGGTAGTGACTGGCACCTGGGCAGTTGGACCGGGTGCCTGGGTCGCCCTGCTCGGGCTGCTTTAGCAAATGCCATCCACCGGGCACTTAGACAACAGATTTATTTTCTCTCAGTTCTGAAGGCCAGAAGTCCGAGGTCACGGTGCCGGACGGCCAGGTCCTGGTGAGGACCCCCCGGGACTGCCTCTCACTGAGCCCGCACACGGCTGCCCGCCCTGTTGTCTCTTCCTCCTATAAGGGCCGTGCTTCTGTCGCATCAGAATCCTGCCCTCATGACCTCATTTAACCTCATTCACCTCCCAAAAGGCCCCGTCTCCGGTACAGTCAAATGGAGGGGGTGTTAGGGCTTCCACATACAAAGTTTAGAGGGACACAGTTCAGTCTATTAGTCTTATACTTTTGCCAACGATCCTGGCATATAAGAAGTTTTGTATGGATACTTACAGAGAAAAAACCATGTGAAGACACCAGAAGGAAGTTTTGTATGGCACTTTGTATTAAGACTTTTTTAGATTGCAAATGAAAGAACTTAACTCAAAAACAGCATGAACAAAAAAGGAAATTATCGGCTTATCCAACTGGAACAAGGGAAAGAAAAACTTGAGAACCAAGACACTGCCCCTCTCTATCCAAATTTTGGCTTCACTCTCTCAGGAACCTCCATGTGTCAAGAGAACAAGATGGCAAGTAGATGTAGGGTTCCATCCATGTAACTCCTAATCGAGGAAGCTACTTCGCTTCTAATACAGAGGATTCCAGGCAAGGATCGTGACTGCCCGGGCTCGAGCATTCCTGGACCGGTCACTGGCCAGGACGCAGCCGCAGCCGTCCTGCGGCCGGGGCCTCAAGCCCTACCTCTGATGGGACCTGGGCGCTGCTCTTAGCAGGAGAAGGAAGGAGGCGGGGCAGACAGAAATAGCAGATGTGCGCTGACTTGGTTCATGCTGACGTTAAGACAGCATGGCTCTCTCCCATCATCTAAAGTTGTGCTGTGCAGTATGGTAGCCACTAACTACATTAGGCTATTGAGCTAATTAAAATAAAATAAAGTTAGAAATTTTCCATTGCACCAGCTTTCTTTCAGGTGCCCAATAGTGCCCAGTTGCCGCAGGTCTAGCGGCTACTGCACTGAATAGTGCTGATACATACATTTCTGTTACTACAAAATTCATTTGGACAGTGCTAATCTAAAGGGTTCACGTGGTCTCCTAAATTAATTCTTTTTTTGTTCGTTTAAGTTACTGTGGAAAATCTCAAGTATACACAATAAGAGGATAGCATTGTGAGCCCCCACCTTTGACAATTAACCTTTTGCTAATTTAATGTCTTACCTATTCTCCCATCAGTTTTAGGGGGTAGAGGGGCAGTATTTTAAAGCAAATCTCAGATATTGTATCATTTCATCTGTAAGTACTTCAGTATGTATCTCTAACAAAAAGTTTTAAAGGTGCCCCAGTACTACTGTACTCAACAAAAATTAACACTAATTCGTTAATGCCATGTAAAACCTGATCTCTGCTTACATCTCTTGATTTGTCTCAAAGTATCTTTTTGAGTTTGCGTGTTAGGTTCTATTGCTGAAAAGCTACTTACTGCAAATTTCGTGACTTAAAACCATTATCTTACCAGTTCCCTAGGTCAGAAGTCTGACATGGGCCTCACTGGGCTAAAGTCAAGGTACCAGGACGGCCAGGTTCCTTTCTGGATGTTCTAGGAAAGATCCGTTCGTTTGTGTCTTCCATCTTCTAGAGACAGCATTCCTTGGCTTGGGGTCCGCTCTTGCCTTCAAAACTAGCCCCTCTGAGTGTCTCTGACCCTGCCATAGCCATGTCGCCCTCTGACCCCAGCTGGGAAAGGTTCTCTGCTTTTAAGGACCCATGTGATTATAATGGACCCACTTGGAAAACCCAAATTAATCTCCCCATTTCAAGGCCCTTAAACTTTGCATTAGAAAATTCTCATTTACAATGGAAGTGGAATGTAGAGTTCACGAAAGAGAACAGCAGGCCATGCTGAAAGGTAGGTTCTTAAATAAAAGCAGGTAACCCTTAGGCCCTGGCCAAGTAGCTCAGTTGGTTAGAGCGTCCTGAAATGCCAAGTTTATGGGTTCAGTCCTGGTCAGGGCACATACAAGAATAAGCCAATGAAAACATAAATAAGTGGAAAAACAAATTGATGTTTCTCCTTCTCTCTGTAAAATCAATTTAAATTTTTTAAAAAAATTCTATGTTTAAAAAGAAAACAGGAAAAATGCATCCCAGGGCTTGAAGCAATGCAGAGGTAGGGGTGGGAGGGTTGTTGCCTGGGGACTTATCTTCAAGATTGCCTTGTTACTGAAACTAGAAACTTGGCTTGGTTAGACTGTGGTCCCTATACACTAAGATTGTGGGTTCGATCCCCAGTCAGGGCACATACAAGAATCAACCAATGAATGCATCAATAAGTGGAACAACAAATTGATGTCTCCCTCTCTCTCTCTCTCTCTCTCAAGTCAATAAAAATTTTAAAAAGTACATCTTTATGTTGAAACAAGAATACATTTTTCTTTCCTAGGTTTACCCATCCATGTATAACTTAAGCTTTTGTTAGGAGTCTGGTCTAGACAGGAGCTGTGGTAGAACTGGTATTCTGCCTACATAGTCCTTGAAACTGCCTGAAGGAGAAACAGCAATGGTGGCACTTTGTTGTCCCAGAACTGGGGCACTGCTTGCTTGGAAGCGTGCAGCTCTTTGGTGTGTGTATTTATAAGTGCATGTTCTAACAATGAGAGGAGAGCTTTTAAAGCAAGTTCCCGTATCCCCACTGAACTTCCCCTGAACAGCTTGAGGCAAGATTTCCTAACTTAAGCTCGTACTCAGATTTCTTTCTATTTGGGGAAAACCAAAAACTTCTTTTCCCCTTTATAGAAGTGAGATTTGCAAACCTTATTAAAAGGGGTCCACCTTAGCCTGCAGGCATTTGTGTCACAAGGCCCCATGAGTCATTCAGTCAAGTTAGAACCTGTGTTTTTAACCGATGCCCAACCTAGTTCCTAAGCCAGAGTAGGCACTCAATAAATATTTGGAGAATGATTGAGCCTGTACCTTGGGATCTAAGGACAGTCCTTCATCTGAGAAAGCCTTGTCTTTTCTGAACAATTCCTGTTTTGCAGCAGCTAGAGTGAAAGACAAGCAGATCTAATCTTAACTAGAGTGGCTGAGTATGGAAGGAAAGGTGATACCTTAGGCGACAGCTATTAAGGTTGTAGTGTAAAACCTGATGTTACACTTGGAAGCAAATACACAATCAATGCATTTGTCAGTGTACAAGTAATAAGATGTACCAGTGCCTGGTTTCTTTCCTCCTCCCATTCCCCGTTTCTGGAAATATTGTATAATGGTCGTGTATTTGCTTCTAACAATCCTGATTGCTATTCATTGAAAACTGAGATGCAGATGACACTATGCCATAGAATTTGGGGGATACAAACATGAATAAGACCCTTTATTCTCTCTACCTTGTTCGAATAAAGTCATTTTTCTTGAAGTTAAAAGTTGCAGTTGTTACAGAGTAGAATGGAAAAAGATTTTAAGAGTCAGAACGGATAGAATCTTGGCTCCGCTGTATATCAGCTGTTTGACCTTGGGCAAGTTATTTCCCTTAATCTTTAAATGCGAATAATTAACACGCATCTTAAAGGAGATTGTGAGGCTTAAAAGAGAACACGGGAGAATGCTTCATTTTGTGCTTCATTGAATGCTTCATTTTCATTAATGAATGCCAAAACCAATGTAGTACATAATTTGGGTTCTTTTTTTTTAAATTTTCATAGCACTCTGCCCCTAATAGGTAGTCGAATGTTTGTCATATTGTCCTTAGTTAGTAACTCTAGATCCAGTTGAATATTTAAATATTTAAATAGTTCTGGTTCTTGCAACTACTGTTGTTTGAGAATTAAGATTGAGAAATGGATTTTCAATGGAAATATACTGGCCAAATAATTGACAAACTGTTTCCAGGATATATCATATCTGCCCACCTTTTCAATTTAAACATTCTATAAAGTTTTTTTTTTTTTTTAAAGATCTCAACACCTGGGGTAACATTAAGTTGTGTTTATATTTATTTGTTGGTCAGTTATCATTGAGAGAATTCTTAATGAAGGCTTCCTTCCCGGAATTAAGGCTAGGCTATTGAAGTTTTGGAATTTGTGCTTGTCATTGTTTTCCCCTAATTTGTGATTATTTTTCTTAAAACCTTTTTCTCAAGCTATAGCTTTTTTGTATCTTGAATTAGAGCAAATTCTTTGTTTACAGAAATGTTTTTCTTTATTCTTACCACACTCCTTAACACATTTCCCCCACTTTGGGAGGCCCAGCCCGCTCTTGGCTTTTTGCCTTTGTGAGTACGAGGCTATTGCAGCCTTGTGCACTGTGTTCCTTAGTTCTGCATGGTTTTACTTCCTGTACGCTTTAATTCAGCTCATTTGAGCATCATGTGTATTTGTGGAATACTAGGTTTACGCTGAGGGGAAATGAACCTAGAGGCTCTGGTTAGAAATAAATGTTAAAGACATTCAGGGGCCTTGGGGTTTGCAAGCCGGAAACACAAGTAGGCAATACCTGGAGTGTTCTGAAGAACAAAAGCTTCAGGGTTCTTGTAGTGAAAAGTTCATTCTTGGGAAGAATCGGTCCTGCCTTCTTTGCTTCTGGATTGGTCCAGAAGAG